GTGAACTGCATGACCACAGGTAGTGTCTGCAGGCGTATAATCTATGGCCTTTACTCAGTATACCAAGCAAGTTCTCTCTCACTCTCTAATCAATTAACTACTTAATTATTTTTGCCAACTAATCATAAACATCCCCTACCTTGAGTGGAGTCTTCAGCAATGTCTTCCTCAGTCCTGTACGTGGTTACCTCTGTGTAGAGGGTGGAGTGATCCAGGGGCCACTTGTTTTTCCGGCAGGTGGCTTGAAGGAGGGCAGTCAGGTAGGATTCAGGGATGTGCAGGCCGGAGAGCCACAGCACCTTGGGTTCACCCTCGTTAACCTGCAATCACACAGGACAAGCTGCAGCACCTGCCTCTCCCCCCACCCCTGCTACTCGGCCCTTAAAGCATCCAGCCGTGCAAGGATTCATTGTTGTACAAGGTGGTGACCGGCCTTAGTTTGAGTAACTTACCCAAAGCAGGGTGTGTTCATGGATTTCTGCAACAATTTGCACAGCGTATCACATACATTAACAAAACAAAAAGCTTTCTGGAGGCACTCACCCAGCTGGTGTACTGGTCATACCGAGCTCTAAAGAAAATAATCCAATTTCCAAGTGTTTTGAGGGTATCGGGGGCTAGCCGCCGCCAGATTGCAGGAATCTGTCCGTTAAAGAGCGCCTGCGCCACATCGTCCAGTTCACTGCTCATTCCAACTTCCCCAGCCAAGGCCTGGAACGAGGGTGAGTGCCAGCCTGGGGCAGGTGGAGCCTCGGGGATTTCCTCGAGGAGCTGTGGTCAGACTTACCCGTTGCAGTTCAGCCAATGACTTTGCCATTCGAACGATCAGCTTATTGAAACGTTCCAGTTCCTGTAACAGCACCACACCCGTAGGGGATATGCCTCGTCCCAAACTTTTCCGTATCTCATCAAGATCAAATACTTGTGGTATTTTGTCTCCTATATCCTTAGCAACATTTCCAATATATTCATCTCGACTAATGCCCATACCAGTTTCACCTGAAACAAAAAATGGTTTAATGAGATTAAATCCACATAGGTCACCCCTTCTATCAGTAATTCTCCAAGAGAACTCCGAGAGCTGACTCACCTTTTGGCATCAGAGTCCCCCACCCTCAGCAGCACTGACATTTGCACCAGAGCCTCCCTGCATGCCTCAGGCTGTGCCTCTGGGCACGCGTTGAACCAGCTCGGTGCTGGCAGGGCTCAGCAGTTCAGCTGCTCTGCTCCCCTCCCCGTCCCCCTGTTTCGCTGCCTCCGCTCCCCAGGGTCAGTACCCCATCCTGCCATGTCCCCCGTCCCAGGGCAGGGCACATGCTGACCCATGCTGCTGCTGACACCCTCCTCCGTGTGCCAGCCCGCGGGTCCCTCTGCGGGGCACAGGCAGCGCGATGCGGGGCTGCAGCACTCATGCCAGCCCCCAGGCACTCCGAGGCGGACTGGTACCACAGTCCCTGTGGCAAGGAGCCACCTCCTTATTCCTTATTTACAAACACAGTTTGAAGTGGCTGAGAACATACCTGTCTGAGGCTGCAGCTCGAGGAGGTCAGACCACATACTGCGAACTGCCTGCGTGTAGTACCCGATCTCAGCGTTTGCATGGAGACCAAACACCTCTGGAGTGTTAGCGAGTGGCAGAGATTCTATCGCCTCTGCAATACAAAACATGCTTCCTAAAGTTGCGATATATTAACCCACAGCTACCAGGCAAAAAAAGAATGCTACAGAGAATTCCATGAGCAATGTTTGTTATTGCTCTGCTTGAAAGAATCAAACGCTATAGCTGGTGTTGAAACACTGCAAGGATCGACTGAACTTTTTTAAGCGTGAAATGCATGCATGCACACCACCCCACATCCCCCCCAAGAAATTTATTAAAAATTTAAAAAAATTAGCATTCTGTTTACCTGGGGATATTTAAAAAAAAAAAAAAAAAAGAAATGAGGAGCTCACTGGTAAGCTCCCACTACAAAGGGCTGCTCACATAAAGCAAGAACACTCTCATCTCTATATTACAGCACTGCAATACAGGCACACAAAATGCCTGAAGTTTCTTTCAACTTCTCATATCCAGCAATGGACATATGGAGAGAATGTATACTGTAGACTTTTTTTAATGCTAACTTATGTAGCAGGAAAAGCATTTCTTACCGACAAAGTCCTCCTTTACAGTCCCATATGGAATTTTATAATCAACCTTGTCGTTTTTATAAAAATGAAACATTTGGAATGTGTCGAAGATGAAATCACCAAGGTACTCATCCATATAGACGGTCAGAATGCGACGATCAAAGCTATCAATGGCACGCCCACCATACATGACCTAGAAATGAGTCACATCAATATTACAGCACTGGCTTTGGGGGCAGCAAATACAGCAAAGAAAAAAATTACTGAAAGGTCTGAAACACACTTTGTTTTTGCAGTGACTGTGTGGTGTAACGCTGCCTGCCTTAACGGACACCAAGTACATCTTCTCCAGCCCCCTCTCAAGGGGGAACACATTAGCCTGGAGAGAGCTGCTCTGGGCCACTCCTGGTAACCAGTCGGTGATTTACGTGCAACGGCACCTTCCTGAGGAACCAGCTCACATTCAGCTGTGATTAAAAGTGCTGCAAAATAACAGCTTTCTGCAGGACTTCATGCCACCACGTATCCCATACGGCACGGTGAGAGCTTTAGAAATCTGTTTGTGCAGCTCTCATCAGTAACACTCATTAGTACAGACTAATAACACATTAGTAATAATACTCATTAGTACCTAGTAATACTGTAACGCTGTGCCGTTCAGTACCTTTCATCAGAGCATCCCAAGGGCTCCCTCACTCAAAATCAATTACGCACCAGAACTCCCCAGTTGTGCAGTTACACGCAGGGGCCCTATTTCACTGAGTCAATGAGATTAAGTGACTTGCTGAGGGCTACACAGGAGGCTCGAGACGGCCCGGGAGAGATTCTCAGCCAGCTTGACTCGATAATACTGCCCGTACAGAAAGGAAGCACTATTTATCTGGATTCTCTTACCATCAAGTGTTCCTTAGTGATATTGTAGCCACTCACCTCACCAATAAGATATTTCAGACTGCTCCAGGGGATTTTATCATCATTTTGTTCAAAAGCTTTTGTCAAGTATGTGTTAAGAATTTCCATGCAGACCTAATAAAGTTGTTGGAACACGTGAGATAAGAATATATAAATCAGCTATACATAACCATAGATTTTATTTAACGTAGTTCTTGTTTGAAAACTAACAGTCTTTTCTTTCTCAAATAAATCAAAACTTAAGTATAAACCCTCTTAAGAAAAGAAACCCATGAGAGAGGCAATATAAACATGAAAGACCGGAAGTCTGATTATTTTTTAGTGGCCAAAATTGACACCATAGAAGATCCAGAGTCTACGTGAGTCCACAGCAACAGAAAAAAATAAGAGGCAAAATGTTATTGCCAAAAAGGATTAAAGATGGATAGATCATATGTTTTCACAATTAATCTGAGCAACTCAAGAATATAAAAGCCACTGCAATTCTTTTCTTACCTGGAAATCAGATTCATTAAAATCATATGGTACGTTCCAGCCAATCTTCCCAAACTTCCTTCTCTCCTGAACCACAGCGTGGAAAAATGCCAAGACATAGACTAAGGATTTAAAGGCAGGATGTGGGCACTGCTCTAAGGCTTCCTGGGGAATTCTGAAGTAGGTGGCTCTCATGTTCAGTTTCAGACCATTAGGTGGTTCTGTCACAACCTATCAAAATAATTAGGGAAGCCATCAATTACTGGATAGCCTCAGGAAAATAAGCTGTAAATATATCACACTCTTTAAGTAGGCTTGAAAATTTTGAACAGCTTTCCAAATTCCTATCAATATGGATTTTTTCCTTAAGTAAAGACATGAAACAGAACTTTATCACAGTAAATACACATATATAAAGAGAAACTCTATATTATTTTAGAAAGAATCACAGAATCACAGAATG